CTTTTATTTCTCTCTCTTGTCTAATTGCTCTGGCTAATGGTTCCAGAACTGTATTGAACAGGATTGGTGACAGCAGACATCCTTGTCTTGTTCCTGATTTTGAAGTAAAAGCTTTCAATTTTTGTCCATTTAGAATGATGTTGGCTGTTGGACTGTCACAGATAGCTTTGATCAGGTTGAGGTAAAGACCATCTGTTCCTATTTTCTGTACAATTTTTATCATGAATGCATGTTGGACCTTGTCAAAAGCTTTTTCTGCACCTATTGAGATGATCATGTGGTTTTTGTCTTTGGCTCCATTGATATGACATATAACATTTATAGATTTGTGAATATTGAACCAACCTTGCATTCCTGGAATGAATCTGACTTGGTTGTGATGTATGATTTTCTAGATGATTTGCTGCATTCTATTTGCTAGTATTTTATTGAGTATTTTTGCATCTATATTCATTAAGGAGATTGGTCTGTAGTTCTCTTTCTTGTTTGGGTCTTTCTCTGGTTTTGGTATCAAAATGAGTTACCTCCAGAAATGAGTTAGGGATAATTGCTTCCTTTTCAATTTCATCGAAGAGTTTGAGGAGTGTTGGTATTAATTCTTCTCTGAATTTCTTGTAAAATTCTGCTGTGAATCCATCAGGGCCTGGGTTTTTCTTTGTTTGTAGGTTTTTAATCATGTTTTCAATCTCATTAATTGATATTGGGTTATTCAGGATTTTTATATCTTCTTGACTCAACCTTGGTAATTTGTACATATCTAGGAATCTGTCCATTTCTTCCAAGTTTTCTATCCTATGGGAGTAAAGATTTTCAAAGTAGGTATTAATGATCTTCTGAATTTCTGTGGGATCTGTAGTAATTTCATCCTTTTTATTCCTTATTGCATGAAGTTAAGTTCTTTCCTTCCTTTTTTGATAAGGTTGGCTAGGGGTTTATCAATTTTATTTATTCTTTCAAAGAACCAACTCTTTGATTCATTTATTTTTTGGAAGGTTTTCTTCATCTCAGTTGCATTAATTTCTGCCCTAATCTTTATAATCTCCTCCCTTCTTTGGGCTTTGGGCTTGACTTGTTCTTGTTTTCTAAAAGTTTAGATGCAGCATTAAGCTATTTATTTGTTTTCTGTTTTCCTTATGT